GGGCGGACCCTGACGGGCGGGTCGGGCGGGCGGGACATTCAAACGGAATTTTTGCGTAAATTGCAAGGAAGTGTGAAGCGAGAGCGCGATTCCTAAGTAAATTGCGAGGGCGTCCTGGGCGCGAGCGTGTTTCCTAAGCGTCGAGAGCGCGATGCTGCAATAAATTGCGAGGAGGTCCTAAGCGAGAGCGCCATTCCTGAGTAAATTATGAGGAAGTCTCGGGCGGGAGCAGGGGTCCTGATTAAGGAAGTCTCAAGCGGGAGCGCCGCTTCTGAGTAAAATGTGAGAAAGTCTGAAGCGGGAGCGCCCTTCCGGAGTAAATTTTGAGGAAGTCTCAGGCGGGAGCGGGGGTCCTGAGTAAATTGTGAGGAAGTCTCAGGCGGGAACCGTTGTTGTTGTAGTCCGTGGCCCAACAACGCAATCTGATCCGCAAGGCTTCCCCTGTCAAAAAACAGGGTGCGAGCCCCGGAGGAAGCACTTCAATTGAAAAAAACCAATGGGCACCGGATAGGCGGGATCAACAATAATTATTTTTCAGAAGTGAAAGTTCAACAACAACAGCAACAGCGCTCCCGTTCGAGACTTCCTCCTTTTTTGTTCAGGGCCAGTGCTCTTGCTCGCCGCCGAAGCAGCCGTCTTAACAAAACCAGCGTTCCCGCTTGAAATTTCCTCCCGTTTTACCTTAGACAGGCGCGCTACTCTTTCTCTCATCGGAGCCGCCCCCCCAGCAACAACAACGCTCCCGCTCGAGACCTCCTCCCTTTTTTACTCAAGGCGGTGCTCTTGTTCGCCGCCGACAGCCCCCGTCCCGACAAAACCAGCGCTCCCGCCCGAGACATCCTCCCGTTTTACGCTGGACTGGCGCCCTTTTCTCCTCCTCCTCCTCCTCCTCCTCCTCCTCCTCCTCCTCCTCCTCCTCCCCTCCTCCTCCTCCCCCCTCCCTCCTCTTCCTCCCTCTTCCTTCCTCCACCCCCTCCTCTTTTCCCTCCTTCCTCCTCCGTCCCTCTTTTCTCCCTCCTCCTCCCTCCCCCTCCCTCCTCTATTCTCCTCCTTTTCCTCTCCTCCTCCTTCCTCCTCCTCCTCCTCCTTCTTCTTCCTCTTCCTCCTCCTCCTCCTCTTCTCCTCCTCCTCCTCCTCTCCTCCTCTCCTCCTCGTCCTCCTCCTCCTCCTCCTCCTCCTCATTTTGGCTCAAGCGTTCGCACGCCTTGCCCAGCTCGGCCGTCCCGATGGCTGCTCGTGGCGAGGCTAGAGGGGTTTTCTCTGCCGCCGATGCTGCCGCGCTCGTCGCTGCGGCCGTCCGCGCGGCGGTGGACGCCCATGCGTCGAGGCGCACTGTCGCCGCCGTCACCCGCTCCGCGTGCTCGGCCCTGGCCTTCGCCATGGCCGCGCCGCGGGGGCCGCGTGACGCTGGCGCTGGCGCCGAGGCTCGAGGTGATGATGGCGTTCGGCCTGGGGGAGACGCGGATCCCGCGGTGCGGGCTGCGCGGCGGCGTCGCCGCCGCCAGCGCCGCGCGGCGCGGCGCGCGGCCGCCAGGGCGGATGCCGACCCGTCTACGGCCGTGGTGCCCCCCGCTGCGGCGGCGGCTGGCGCCGCGGCGGCCGCTGTGGCCACTGGAGCGGGCCGTGGGCTCGCGCTGATGGCCGTGGAGGCCGCCTCTGACACGGTCGATGAAGTGATGGACGACGAGTGGGCCGACGGCCTGCTTCGTGCACCTGCTGCTGCTGGAGGTTCGGCTGGAGTTGGCGGCATGCCGCCTGCGGAGGCTGGGTCTGGTCGTGCGCGTGCTGGTGCGGATCCTGCGGAGCCTGCGGCGGCGGCTGCTGGAGCGGCGGCCGCGGCGGGCGGAGCAGGCGACGATGGGCTCGCGTCTTCGGTCGCGTATTTCGAGCGGGAGCTCCTGAAGCCCTTGCCCGCGGCTGTCAGGGCGCGCCACGTGGTTCAACTGGAGCGCGCTCGCGCTGCAGCCCGTGGCGGCGGCCTTCCGAGTTCGTCGTGAGGGAGTCGTTCGAGACCGGGGCGGCGGCTGCGGCGGCGTCCGCAGCGGCGGGGGGATGGCGATGGTGCCCGATCGGGCCGTCCCCCCCCTCACGTCCTTCGTCTTCGGCTTCCTCGTTCTCGCCGGCATGTTCTAGTCCTTCGAGACGGTCGGGGACCTGGCGCCTCAGGTGGTAGCCGGGTCCCCGCGGTCGCGGCCGCTCGGCGGCCGCGTAGTTCGTTTTAGTCTTGCGAGACTCTTCCCCTCGGGGCTGTCCTAACCTAACCTCCTCCTCCTCCTCCCTCTCCTCCCTCTCCTCCCCCCTCATTGCCCCTCTCTCTTCCTCCCTCTTCCTCCCTCCTCCCTCCTCCCTCTCCCGTCCCTCTGTTCTCCCTCCTCCCTCCTCCTTTCTCTTTTCGTCCCTATCGTTTCCTCCCTCCACCTACCTCCCTCCTCCCTCCTCCCTCCTCCCTTCCCCCTCCGTCCTCCCTCGTCGCTCCCAATTGATACTTCCTCACCTTGTACGCAAGAGTGCGGCCCTCGTTTCGGCATCGCCTTTGGGAGGCTTCCAAGAGTCCCTGTTGAACCTTAATTAGTTCATACATGCCATTTTGGGAGAGCATAGATCATGTGGAGGAGGAGGCGAAAAAGGAGGACGGATGACTTCCAGGGACTCCAAGGATCGAGGGTCGAAGGATTGACGTCAGAGATTCCTTTGGGAGGGTGTGGAAGGGGCGGGTGGAGGATGCGACCATGGGGGCGGCAGCGCATGGGAGCGCGAACGTTCACGGTCACGCGCCGAGGCCGCAGGACGGTGGCGTAACAGATCGAACGAGGAGTAGGAACCACCTCGTCCTCGAAGGTGCTGCTGCTACAACTACTCCTTCCTCCTCCTCCCTCCTTCTCCTCCTTCTCCTCCTCTCCCTCGTCCTCTCCCTCGCATCCCATCCCCTCTTCGTCTTCTTCCTCCTCCTCCGATGTGCGGGGCGTGCGCGGGGCGATTGCGATGGCGATGTGCCGCCCGAGCTGTGGATGTCGAATTTCTCGGAAGATGTGGTGGCGATACTTTCTTTGGCGGGAAATTTGGGCGAGGGAATGCCAGGCCCCGCGTGCCAGACAAATCCCCTTGAGGGGGCGTGGTATCCGGGAGGGCGCATGTGACATGTGGAAGCATGGCGCATGATTTGTAAACTTGTTGTTGGTGGTGGCGTCGTTGTTGCAGTTGTCGTTGATTTTGGTGTTGCTGTTATTGTTGTTGATGTTGTCGTTGTCGTCGTTTCCTGGCCCGGTGGAATTATCCGCCACGGCGTGCGATGATAAGCGTTGCAGCTTTCTTCGCTGCTACGCCGCGCTAAACTGCTCACGCATCGCGACACCGTGCATTGCACGCAACGACATGCGGCAAACGGCGAATGCCACGCGATGCCGATGTTTGTCAACGTGCCAGGCAGCGTTGAGCTACGAATGCAATGTGGTGTCGTAGTTTGCGTGGCACCTCGTCGTGCTGCGCTTCGATGTCTTCTGAAAAATTGTGCCCGCATGGAAGTCGGGCCGATTTTGTTCATCTTATCGCGGGGACAGCCCGAACGCAAATGCGCGCGCGTGAGTGTCTCAGCGCGATCACCCGAGAGTGCGGTTACATCGGTGTGCCGGTCTGCGGGTACGGGTATGCGAGTCGGATTGCGAGCGAGTACGCAAACGCCAAGGCGTTCGCGCGCACATCAGACAACCATCTCGACTTGCGAGCCCGACAGCGAACGCAACTTCGCGTTTGGCGCACGACACGCCATGACAGCTGTCGCACTCATACCAGCCCGGACAGAACTAAGCTAGTTGTCCTGAGCAAGGTAGTGGAATATCATCCCTTGAGGTGAAGAGGCTCGGACGCCAGTCGAAAGGACGCTGGGAGCAGGCCGATCATCCCATAGCAATGGCAAACTTAAGGGCCCCCTGGGGTATCGTAGCTTCTTCTCGGAAGTATATCGGGGACCTTGTAGGGCCTTTCGGGTAGGGTTTGCTGCCAACTTGGGGCTATCCTGGCGCCGTTTTCGGAGACTCGCGGGCAATTTTGGGGCTATCGTGGAAGGTGGCGACGTCGGCGTCGATTGACACGGATCTCGATAAGTCGCCTCTGAGGGCCGTCTGTGGTCCGGGGGCTTATTGTGGGGCGATTTTGGATTCCTAGCGAGCCCCATGTTTGGGCGCGCGCTATCTTGGGACCCCTCGCCTCACGGGATAAATGGCATCGACAGGGCGATGGTGCGAACACTAGCGAATCACATCCGCATATTTCACGACGCTCGCCCCCCAGGGGCATGGTTGGAAGGCACGCCGGGCCAACGTGCGGTGTATTGGGCGCCATGTTCGGCTATCCCGGGCCGTTCGGGAGCCATGTTCTGCATGCCTCGCCGCTCCAACGCGCCGCCCCCCACCCCACCCAGCTTAGCTTCATCAGGAGGGGGTGGAGGGAGGGGTGCAGTCAAGGCATTGAAATCGGACCGATTTGGGCCCAGGAGGGACTTTGGTTTTTAGGCCGTTCCTGGAATCTAGGTCGGGGAGCCTGCTCATGGCCGAGGCTCGACGTGGCAAGAAAAGTCTCTTTTTTCCTTCTTCGGTGTCCGCTGAACCCAGGGCAGCACGATGACTGCAAGTCCCTTTCCACACGGGAGATAGTTGGCCTTTAGGAAGAGCTTGCGGCGTTGGACTACAACGCCCAGATGGCCAGCGGGACCTTGCTCTGGAGCGATCACCGCGCCAGCCTGAGCCCACTCCTTCCGCCTGCGCTCGGTCCCCTCGTCCCTCGTTCTACGCCTCCTCCGTCCGCTCCGTCGCTTCTCCGCCTTCCTTCGTTCATCGCCCTGCCTTTCATCTGCGCGCTCCTTTTCGTCCTCTCCCTACTCCTTCCCCTCCTGACCATCATGTCCTCCTCCCCCTCCCCCTCCCCCTCCTCTAGTAGAGGGAGTCGCAGAGGGAGGGAGAGCTGGATCTCCTCTCCACTCCCTGCCCTCCTCTCCCTCCGCTCAGGGCCCGCTTTGCAACGGCATTCTCGAGGTCTCGAGGAAGGGCAAGTCCCACTCCAGGTGCCCGGGCGTGAGTCCGAGCGGAGTGAGGATGGAGAGTGAAGGAGGAGGACGAGGAGGACGAGGAGGACGAGGAGGAGGAGGAGGAGGAGGAGGAGGAGGAGGAGGGAGGAGGGAGGAGGGAGGAGGGAGGAGGGAGGGAGGGATTGGCGGATGATAATGATGGGGATGAGCATGATGATGATGATGATGATGATGATGATGATGATGATGATGATGATGATGATGATGATGATGATGATGATGATGATGGTGATGGTGATGATGGTGATGGTGATGATGATTATGATGAGGATGATGAGGATCATGAGGATGATGAGGATGATGAGGATGATGATGATGAGGAGGAGGAGGATGATGATGATGCTGATGCTGATGATGCTGATGATGATGATGATGTTGATGACGATGATGTTGATGACGAAGCTGTTGCTGCTGCTGATGATGACGATGATGCTGATGCTGCAGATGCTGACGATGATGTTGCTGCTGCTGATGCTGATGATGACGACGCTGCTGACGATGATGCCGATGCTGACGCTGATGCTGATACTGGTGCTGGTGCTGATGCTGATGCTGATGCTGCTGCTGCTGCTGATGATGATGATGATGATGATGAGGCTGATGATGATGATGATGATGATGATGATGATGATGATGCTGATGATGATGATGATGATGATGATGATGATGATGATGATGATGATGATGATGATGATGCTGATGATGATGATGATGATGATGATGATGATGATGATGATGATGGTGATGATAACATAGCACCCCGCAATTGCGGATAAGAGTGAGGGGGCGGGCGCGGGCGACGCGGTCGTCGTCGAGCCGGCGGACTTCGTGGCCCCCACCTTCCCTGTCGATGGCGCTCTCCTCCTCCTCCTCGTCCTCCTCCTCCTCTTCCTCGTCCTCGTCCTCGTCGTCAGCGTCATCCTCCTCCTCCACCTCGTCCTCCTCTTATTCCTCGTCCTCCCTCTCCCCCCCTCGTCCTTCCATCATCGTCCTCCCATTGTCGTCCACCCCCTCATCGGCCTCATCATCGTCCTCCCATTGTCGTCCATCATCATCATCCTCCCTGTCCTCCCCCTCCTCGTCCTCCTCCTCCCCCTCCTCCCCCTCCTCGTCCTCCTGCTGCTGCTCCTCCTCCTTTCTCCATATTATCCTTACATCCTCTCTTCTTTCGCGTCCTCCTCGTCCCCTGTTTACTCCTCCTGCCTCCCCCTCCTCTCCCAAGATATCGGCAACGCAATCCTTTTCTCCACTTTATGCTCCCCGACTTCTCTGATCAAGGCAACTCGCCAGGGCAAAGTTGCTGGACGGGCTGGTGTGGATGCGCGGGGCTTGAAGAGGTCGTTGCGGGCGCAGGCGGCATGCAAAAATCCGCCGCCGCGCTTGTGCGACATTGGTTTGTTCAGTGAACGTGGTTTGGGTCGCGGGTGGGTCGCGGGCCTTCCACCTCCACCTGGAAGGAATGCCAAAGCAGCCCGCCGCAGGCGCAGAAAAAAATGGTTTGCACACTGAACATGGAATGGGTCGCGGGTGGGCCGCGGGTTCTCCGCTGGGGACGAATGCAAAATATGCCCGCCGCAGGCGCCGAAATATTTGGTATGTACCCTGATCGTGGTCGCGGGTGGGCCGCGGGCTCTCCACCTGAAACGAATGCAAAAGATGCCCGCCGCAGGCGCCGAAAATGTGGTTTGTACCCTGAACGCGGTTTGGGTCGCGAGTTGGTCGCGGGGTGGGTCGCGGGCTCTCCACCTGGAAGGAATGCAAAAAAAGCCCGCCGCAGGCGCCGAAAATGGTGGTTTGTACCTTGAACGTGGTTTGGGTCGAAAGGGGTCGCGGGTGGGTCCGTCGCGGGTGGGGCCGCGGGTGGGGGGTGGGTGGGTGCGGTGGGCGCGGGTGGGTCCGGTGGGGTCGCGGTGGGTCGCGGGGGGTCGGGGGTGGGTCGCGGGTGGGTCGCGGGGTGGGCCGCGGGGGGGTCGCGGGGTGGGTCGCGGGGTGGGTCGCGGGGTGGGTCGCGGGGTGGGTCGCGTGGGTGTGGTCGCGGGGTGGGTCGCGGGGTGGGTCGCGGGTGGGTCGCGGGGGTCGCGGGTGGGTCGCGGGTTGGGTCGTGGGTGGGGTCGCGCGGGTGGATCGCGGGGTGGGTCGCGGGGTGGGTCGCGGGTGGGTCGCGGGTGGGTCGCGGGTGGGTCGCGGGGTGGGTCGCGGGGTGGGTCGCGGGTGGGTCGCGGGGCGGGTTGCGGGTGGGACGACGACAACAAATAACAACAAACAACAACACACAACAACAAACAACAACGAGAACCCGCACCGCGAAATTTCACTTCAGCCACGCACCCAGGGACAGTGAATGACCGTTCGGCCCCCTCACTCTGATGTAATGATAACGATGATGATGATGATGGTGATGATGATGATGATGATGATGATGATGATGATGATGATGATGATGATGATGACGATGACGATGACGATGACGATGATGATGATGATGCTGATGCTGATGATGATGCTGATGATGATGACGATGATGATGATGGTGATGATGATGATGATGATGATGATGATGATGATGATGATGATGATGATGAGGCTGATGATGATGATGATGATGATGATGATGATGATGATGATGATGATGATGATGACGCCCCCCTTTTGGCCGTCTCCCTCCCGCCTCCTCGCCACGCACCTTGGAGCCCACGCCGTCCCGAGCGTACGACCGCCCTGTCTCCCCGTCGCGGCGGACAGATGACGGGTCGCCTGTGCCGCCGCGCCGCCGGGCAAGCCAGGTATTTCGTCCTCCACGCCGACCGCATGGAGGCGGGGCGCGGATCTGTCCGGGTGGCGCAGAGGAGGAGGGCCGATGAGGAGCAGGCCAGCGAGGAGATGCAGGAGGAAGGGGGGAGGGTTCGGGGCAGGTGGGGGCAGGACGAGGACGATGACGAGGACCAGGAGGGGAGGGTTCGGGGCAGGTGGGGGCAGGACGAGGACGATGACGAGGACCAGGAGGATGGACACGATAGCGTACGGCGCTGGATGCTGTGATTGCCGAGCTTGGGGCGATTCTAGAGCTAGTTATTAGCCAACGTGCCCGGCGGGCCAACACCGCGCCAGGACAGCGCCAGGACATCCACCAGGACAGCGCCAGGACAGCGCCAGGACAGCGCCAGGACAACGCCAGGACAGCGCCAGGACAGCGCCAGGTCACCCCGCCCGGACAGCGCTGGACTGCGCCCAGTACTGGCCAGGACATGCGCCAGGACAGCGCCAGGACAGCGCCAGGACAGCGTCAGGACAGCGCCAGGACAGCGCCAGGACAGCGCCAGGACAGCGCCAGGACAGCCGCCAGGACAGCGCCAGGACAGCGCCAGGACAGCGCCAGGACAGCGCCAGGACAGCGCCAGGACGGCGCCAGGACAGCGCCAGGACAGCGCCAGGACAGTACCACGACAGCGCCAGGACAGCGCCAGGACATCGCCAGGACAGCGCCAGGACAGCGCCAGGACAGCGCCAGGACAGCGCCAGGACAGCGCCAGGACATCGCCAGGACAGCGCCAGGACAGCGCCAGGACAGCGCCGGGACACCCGCCAGGATGACGCCAGGACAGCGCCAGGACAGGGCCAGGACAGCGCCAGGACAGCGCCAGGACAACGCCAGGACACCCGCCAGGACACCCGCCAGGACCGCGCCAGGACAGCGCCAGGACAGCGCCAGGACATCGCCAGGACAGCCGCCAGGACAGCGCCAGGACAGCGCCAGGACAGCGCCAGGACAGCGCCAGGACAGCGCCAGGACAGCGCCAGGACAGCGCCAGGACAGCGCCAGGACAGCGCCAGGACAGCGCCAGGACATCGCCAGGACAGTTCCAGGCCATCGCCAGGACGGCGCCAGGACAGCGACAGGACAGCGCCAGGACAGCGCCAGGACAGCCGCCAGGACAGCGCCAGGACAGCGCCAGGACAGCGCCAGGACAGCGCCAGGACAGCGCCAGGACAGCGTCAGGACACCGCTTGGCCAGCCTCCGTGATGGTACTGCGGATGATGATGATGATGATGATGATGATGATGATGATGATGATGATGATGATGATGATGATGATGATGATGATGATGATGATGATGATGATGATGATGAATGACGATGACGATGAATGATGATGCTGATGATGAATGAGATGATGATGATGAATTATGATGATGAAATGAATGATGATGGTGATGATGATGAACGATGACGAGGATGATGATGATGCTATGATGATGATGATGATGATGATGATGCTGCTGATGATGATGATGATGATGATGATGATGATGATGATGATGATGATGATGATGATGATGATGATGATGATGATGATGATGATGATGATGATGAGGGGCCAGACAGGGCCTCAAGGGCCCGACGGATTTTGCAAGTTTCTGCAAACTCCGTCCGGCATCAATCTGGCCGCTGGTTCCAATACGGGCCAGACAGCGCCAGGACACCCGCCAGGACAGCGCCAGGACAGCGCCAGGAGACCCGCCACGCCAGCGCCATGACACCGCCCGGACACCCGCCAGGAAAACGCCAGGGTTGCGCCAGGCCAGCGCCAGGACAGCCCCAGGACATCGCCAGCGCCGTCCTGGCGCCGTCCTGTCGTCGTCCCGGCGTCGCCCAGACGCAATCCATGCGCCGTCCTGGCGTCGTCCTGGCGCTGTCCTGGCGTCGTCCGGGCGCTGCCCTGGCGATGCCCTAACGTCGTCCGGGCGTCGTCCTGACGGTGTCCTGGCGGTGTTCCACCGCTGTCTCATCGTGGTCCCGTCGCCGTCCTGGCGCTGTCCTGGCGCTGTCCTGGCGCTGTCCTGGCGCTGTCCTGGCGCTGTCCTGGCGCTGTCCTGGCGCTGTCCTGGCGCTGTCCTGGCGCCGTCCTGGCGCCGTCCTGGCGCCGTCCTGGCGCTGTCCTGGCACTGTCCTGGCGCTGTTTTGGCGCTGTCCTGGCGCTGTCCTGGCGCTGTCCTGGCGCTGTCCTGGCGCTGTCCTGGCGCTGTCCTGGCGCCTTCCTGGCGCTGTCCTGGCGCTGTCCTGGAGCTGTCCTGGCGCTGTCCTGACGCTGTCCTGGCGGGTGTCCTGGCGGGTGTCCTGGCGCTGTCCTGGCGCTGTCCTGGCGGCTGTCCTGGCGCTGTCCTGGCACTGTCCTGGCGGATGTCCTGACGTTGTCCTGGCGCTGTCCTGGCGCTGTCCTGGCGCCGTCCTGGCGCTGTCCTGGCGCTGTCCTGGCGCTGTCCTGGCGCTGTCCTGGCGGGTGTCCTGGCGCTGTCCTGACGCTGTCCTGGCGCTGTCCTGGCGCTGTCCTGGCGCTGTCTTGGCGCTGTCCTGGCGCTGTCCTGGCGCTGTCCTGGCGCTGTCCTGGCGCTGTCCTGGCGCTGTCCTGGCGGCTGTCCTGGCGCTGTCCTGGCACTGTCCTGCCACTGTCCTGGCGGCTGTCCTGGCGCTGCCCTGGCGCTGTCCTGGCGCCGCCCCGCGCCGCCTGAGTGTAAGCGAATGTATCACACCGGGCGGGGGTGGCTCCAAACGACCCCCCCCGCCCGGCGTGATACATTCGCTTAAACTGACGACGCCGCTTCAGTTTTAACGAATGTATCACACCGGGCGGGGAGTCTTTTGGAGCCACCCCCGCCCGGTGTGATACATTCGCTAAAAGTGAGGCGGCGATTTCAGTTTAAGCGAATGTATCACACCGGGCGGGGGGTCTTTTGGAGCCACCCCCGCCCGGTGTGATACATTCGCTTAAACTGAGGCGGCGCGGGGCGGCGCCAGGACAGCGCCAGGACAGCGCCAGGACAGTGACAGGACACCCGCCAGGACAGCGCCAGGACACCGCCAGGACACCGCCAGGACACCGCCAGGACACCGCCAGGACACCGCCAGGACAGCGCCAGGACAGCGCCAGGACAGCGCCAGGACAGCGCCAGGACACCCGCCAGGACAGCGCCAGGACAGCGCCGGGACAGCGCCAGGTCAGCGCCAGGACAGCGCCATGACATCGCCAGGACAGCGCCAGGACAGCGCCAGGACAGCGCCAGGACAGCGCCAGGACAGCGCCAGGACGGCGCCAGGACAGCGCCAGGACAGCGCCAGGACAACGCCAGGACATCGCCAGGACAACGCCAGGACAGCGCCAGGACAGCGCCAGGACGGCGACGGGACAGCGCCAGCACAGCGCCAGTACAGCGCCAGGACAGCGCTAGGACAGCGCCAGGACAGCGCCAGGACGGCGCCAGGACAGCGCCAGGACAGCGCCATGACAGCGCCAGGACACCCGCCAGGACATTGCCATAACACCGCCAGGACATTGCATAACACCGCCCGGACACACCCCGGACTACCGCCAGAAGCGCCAGGACAGCGCCAGGTCAAGGCAGTATCACCTGGCCAGGACAGCGCCAGGCAAATCGCCAGTACATCGCCAGGACAGCAGGACATCGCCAGGACAGTTCCAGGACGGCGCCATGACAGCGCCAGCGGCGCCAGACAGCGCCAGACAGCGGCGCCACATCAAGGACAGCGCCAGGACAGCGCCAGGACAACGCCAGGACAGCGCCAGGACAGCGCCAGGACGGCGCCAGCACAACGCCAGGACAGCGCCAGGACAGCGCCCGGACAGCGCCAGGACAGCGCCAGGACACCGCCAGGACACCCGCCGGGACACCGCCCGGACTGCGCCAGGTCAGCACCAAGACAGCGCCAGGACACCGCCAGGACAGCGCCAGGACAGCGCCAGGACACCGCTTGGTCAGCCTCCGTGATGGTACTGCGGATGATGATGATGATGATGATGATGATGATGATGATGATGATGATGATGATGATGATGATGAAGATGACGATGACGATGACGATGATGATGATGATGGTGATGATGATGATGATGATGATGATGATGATGATGATGATGATGATGATGATGATCATGAGGATGAGGATGAGGATGAGGATGAGGATGAGGATGAGGATGAGGATGAGGATGAGGATGAGGATGAGGATGAGGATGAGGATGATGTCCATGATGATGATGATGATGATGATGATGAATGCTGATGATGATGCTGATGATGATGAGGGGCCAGACAGGCATCAAGGGCCCCGACGGATTTTGCAAGTTTCTGCAAAATCCGTCCGGGTCCAGCCGGGAATCGTTGAGCGCACGTTTATGAAGCGCCTGTGCGCCTAGGAGGGACGGCGGGGGAGGGTTGATGAGATGAGATGGGGAATGGCGGGCCCCCACGCTGCTGGCGGGTGTCCTGGCGGTGTCCTGGCCCTGTCGTTGCGCTGTCCTGGCGCTGTCCCGGCGGGTGTCCTGGCGCTGTCCTGGCGCTGTCCTGGCGCTGTCCTGAGCTGTCATGGTGGGTCCCTGCGCTGTCCTGGCGGTGTCCTGGCGCTGTCCTGGCGCTGCCCTGGCACTGTCCAGCGCTGTCCTGGCGCTGTCCTGGGCGCTGTCCTGGCGCTGTCCTGTCGGCTGTCCTGGCGCTGGACTGGCGCTGTCCTGGCGGTGTCCTATCGCTGTCCTGGCGCTATCTGGCGAGCGTCCTGGCACAGTCCTGGCGCTGTGCTGGCGCTGTCCCGACGCTGTCCTGGCGGTGTCCTGGCGTTGTCCTGGGGGGTGTCCTGTCTCTGTCCTGGCGCTGTCCTGGCGCTGTCATGGCGCTGTCCTGGCGCTGTGCTGGCGCTGTCCTGGCGGGTGTCCTGATGGTGTCCTGGCGGTGTCCTGGCGGGTGTCCTGGCGATGTCCTGGCGGTGTCCTGGCGGTGTCCTGGCGCTGTGCTGGCGCTGTCCTGGCGCTGTCCTGGCGGGTGTCCTGGCGGGTGTCCTGGCGCTGTCCTGGCGCTGTCCTGGCGCTGTCCTGGCGCTGTCCTGTTGCTGTCCTGGCGTGTGTCCTGGCACTGTCCTGTCGCTGTCCTGGCGCTGTCCTGGCGCTGTCCTGGCGCTGTCCTGGGGGTGTCCTGGCGCTGTCCTGGCGGGTGTACTGGCTCTGTCCTGGTGCTGTCCTGGCGCTGTCCTGGCGCTGTCCTGGTTGTGCCTGTGCCACTGTCCTGGGCGGCCCGGTGGCCACCGCAACAGCCCGACCCAAGACAGACCAGAGAGACGCCCCAATGCCGAGCGGCAGCACAGACGTAGAAGCCCAGCCCAAGGACGGTCGAGCCGCGCTCGCGCCTCCTCGGGTCTCGAGGTCTGGGCTTCGAGGTCTTTGTATATACATCAGGGGCACGGTTTGGGGGAGGACAGGTCGGGGGGGGCACGCATTGACCCCCAATCGCCCATTCATCGCACGCATGGGGCCCGATAGCCCACCCCGCCCAGGACCGTTCGGACTCACTATCGGCGTTTTATTCCCCTGTCAACCAGCCTCCCCCGAGCCTTCCCCCGAGTACATATGAAATGGTCAGTGGCAGATCTTTGTTCGGAGAGGATGGAAAGGAAAAGGAGGCGAAAACGGACCGCGTCCTGGCTTGGAGAGAAGGAGGAGGAGGAGGAGGAGGAGGAGGAGGAGGAGGAGGAGGAGGAGGAGGAGGAGCAGGAGCAGGAGCAGGAGCAGGAGCAGGAGCAGGAGGAGGAGCAGGAGCAGGAGCAGGAGCAGGAGCAGGAGGAAGGCGTTTCACACCAGACCGCCCTTCACACACGCACGCCCGAGAAGCCCTGGGCAGAGAGGAAGGTCGACGGCGGGGGGCGGATGCCGCCAGAGCCCGCCGTGGCGAGTTTGGCTGCCCAGTCGTACGCCGGCAGGCGCTCGACAGCGACGCAGAGCACGGACGGTGCGCAGGACGGCGCGGCGGAGCCCTTTTGCGCCGAGGCGCCACGCCAGCGGGGACGTCTCCGCCGACGCGGGGCGGGCGAGCCGCAGCCCGGGCCCCCACGGGGCGGCGAGGTCCGCCGCGGTGCGGCGCGACCCGGCGGCGCAGGCGTCGCGGGCGCTCCTGGCGGCGGCCAGCGGGCGGTAGGCGTCCCGCGCGGGAGCCGGGCCGCAGAGGGCCGCGAGCCTCTTGGGACTCTCGTGGACCCTCCTGGGTCTGTTGGGGCTCTCTTGGAGGCCCTCTGGGAGTCCGTTCGGCCCCCTCATTGGCGCCATGTATCATAGAAGGAGGGTTCCCGGGTTCCCGCGTCCCCCCGTCGGGGCGCGAGAATTAGCCTCGTTTGGGCCGTTCTGGCGCGTTCTCGAGGCTCCCGGGAGCCCTCGCCCAGCGGATGTATATATCGAAGACGCCTACGGCGAATCACCGCCGCCCCCTGCCTTTTTGGAAGCGCCTATGTGGCCGAACGTTGAGGCCAGCCCTGCCAAGCTATCGGACCACGTGTTCCCCGAATCGGTTTGGAAAGCCTTCGGGGAACACGTGGGCATCTTGAAGGTCATCTTGGCCGTCTTGGAGGCCTCTTGGGCAAGCTGTGGGCGATCTTTGGGGCTTTTTGGGCCGTCTCGGGCCAGCTTCGAGCCAACTTCGGCCATCTTGGTGGGTTCCTGGCACGTCTGAAGCCGTCGGAAGCCGTTTGGGGGGCCTCTGTGGGCCGACTTGGGGCCCGCTTGGAATGCTCCAGGGCCGTCTTGGAGGCCATCTTGGGCGTCTGGGAGGCCATCTTGGGCGTGTTGGAGGCCTCTTGGGCCCTCTTGGGGCCCTCTAGGGGCCATCTTGGAGGCCACTTGGGCCATCATGGGGCTCTCTTGGGGGCCTCTTGGGCGATCTTGGGGGCTTCTTGGGCCGTCTCGAGCCGTCGGAGAGCCGAAAAGGCGCAAATGCCAGAATCCTTCAAAAACCAAGGAAAAATCAATGATTTTGGCCTCTTCGGACTCTCCTGGAGGACCTCTTGGAGGCCTCTTGGGCCGTCTGGGAGGCCTCTGGGGGGCCTCTTGGGCCGTCTTGGGCCGTCTTGGACTCTCTTGGGCCGTTTTGGAGGCCGTCTTGGACCATCTCGGGCGGACTTGGAGGCCATCTTGGGCCATCTTCGCGATTTGTTGAGGATGTCCCGAGCGAAACGGCCGTTTTTTGGAGGATGTTTTTCCGGATTGAGGTGTTTTCGGCTTCCTCCCGGGACCCCGGCGGGACGGGCCGAAGCCCACTGGGGAGTTCTTTTAGAAAAAGAACCAAAACCAAAACCTGAATCATCCAGCACGCCGTGCACCCCTGCAAGCAGGGGGCGGCGGATCTAGTCTCGTTCGGCCCGCCCCGCCACCGTAATTACCTGGGTTGTGGGTGAGAGGGCTCTTGGATGTTCGTGGGGATCTCACGGGAGGCCTCTCGGGGGCCTCCTGGAGGCAGTTCGGATGCCTCTGGGCGGCTGTTCTGCGGCCTCTTTTGTACCTCATGGGGGCCTCTTGGGACCTCGAGGTGGCCTCTTGGGGGCCTCTTGGGGCCTCTTGGGGGCTCTTGGGGGCCTCTTAAGGCCTCTGGGGGGCCTCTCGGTGCCGAGGGTTCGAAATGTCCAGTCGGGTATCTTGTCTGGCCTCTTCTTAGGAGCCATCTTAGGAGCCTCTCGGGCCGTCTTGGAGGCCGTCTTGGAGGCCTTTTGGGCCGTCTTGGGGCGATCTTGTGCGCCTCTGGAGCCGTCTTGGAGCGTCGGGAAGCCGAAAAGGCGATGACGCCCAAATCCTTCAAACACCAGAGGATAAACTATGTTGTTTACCTCTTGGGAGGCCTCTTGGAAGCCTCTCGTGGCGTCTTGGGGGCATTTTGGGCCGTCCTGGGGCCATCTTCTGCGTCTTGGACCGATCGTTCAGCGATTCAGGGCCCCCTTGGACCGTTCTGGGCGCCTCTTAAACTCAAGGGCACAGTGGCGGATTTCTGTGTTTCTCTCTCTCTCTCTCTCGCTCTCTCTCTCTCTCTGTATATCTATATACATGAGTGTAAATACATGTGTGCAAATGTATATGTAGATGTGCAATTGAATGACTAGGTATATGTATATGTATTTTCACATGCATGTTTACATGCATATCTGTATATACCTACTTGTCTGCCTGTCTGACTACCTTCCTACCTACCTGCATGCATGCATGCATACGTGCATACAGGCATAGAGGTATACATGCATGCGCACATGCATACTTATATACAGTCATCCAGACATACATGCATACCTGCGTACAGACATGCATGCATGCATGCACACACACATGCTTACATACATGCATGCATGCATACATACACACGTACGTACATACATAATACATAGTACATGCATACATACATACATTCATACATACATACATATGTACATACATACGTACACACATACCTGCCTGCATGCATGCATGCATACATACGTACACACATACATACACACATTCATGTAATATATATATATGCATATATCCATCCATCCATCCATCCATCCACACATACGTACGTGCGTGCAGGCATGCATGCATGTATACATGCCTCCATACCTGCATACATACACACATACATACATACATACATGCATACATGCATACATACATACATACATGCATACACAAACGTACATGCATGCATGCATGCACACATACATACATACACACATGTATATCTATGTATACATACACATACGCATATATACAGAAATGCATGCATCTGCAAACACATGCATGCATGCATGCATGCATACAAACATACACATACATACATGCATGCATACACACATACTCACGTTCATACATAAGTCTACACATTGTGTGGTATCGTTGATGTTATAGCTTTACGTGGCGTGTGGCTTCTCTATGAAAAGAGCGGCACGTGCTGCGAGGGAACGGAAGACCGAAGCCAACAGCATGAAGTCTAACACAAGGAATATCACGAACACCAGGCCGCCCACAAAAGACATACGAAGCACAAAGCCGCCAGCTTTTTGTCCCGTATCTTTGCCCTCCCTTTTGCCCCCCCAGTCCCCCCAGTCTTCCCTTCGGATTTCGGGTCCAGTGTGAGTTCTGATGAGGCTGCCGAGTGGACCACAGTTGGTGGTAGCCGGTGTCGCTCTGCCCACGTCCGCCAATCACCGCGCAGTCCACGAGCCCCGTGTTTTTGCTCTGGTCACCGCGGAAGCCCTGGCAGGGGGATGACGTGCCCCCCCCCCTCCCCCCTCTCCTCCTTGAGCGCTCCCCTTCTCTTTCTCCCCCCCGCCTCCCCCCTTGGCAGCCGACGCCGCGTTCTTTCCGCTCGCGATGTGGGCCCCTTCCCCGGGACGGGTGCTGCACCGCGGGACGCGGGGCCGTCTTTGGACGGCCCCGGGCAGGGCGAGGGCACCCCTCGACGCCGAAGTTAGCCAAACACCTCCGTCGCAATGGCCTCTTCGCGGTGCGGGGGGCTCAGAGCCCGCGCGCCCCCCGATGTCCAAAAACCTCGAAATCCTCCTCGCCGAACCCCGCGGCGAGGTGGAGTGGCCAGGGATCTCACTTGCACGCGAGGATCTGCCCCCCCCGCCCCCCCCCGCCTTCTCTCCCCCCCCACCACACCCCACACCCCACCCGACCCCCCCGGCGCCGCCCGCCCCGCGCGCGCGCGCCGCTCGCCCAGTACTTCTCCAGCGGCGACGACTTCGCCGCGGGGGCCGAGCCCCGGGGCAAGGTCTGCCGCTGCCTTGCGGCGGCCTCGCGCCGGCCAACGCTGGGGTCGTTTTTTTCTCCAACTCTTCGTGTTGCGGTTGAGCCAAACCTACAAAAAATGACCACCCATAGCAGAACAGAAGTGACACTGTGTGGCAGCAGGAGAAGAGACACAATGTTTTCCTTTGAGCCACGGTGGAAACGGAACGCCCACAAGATGGATCTCTGACCATCTGTCCCTGGAGTGAAACGCAAAAGCTAAACCTGGCCCCTGGAACGTGGGTCCAACTTTCTCTAGGTTTAGCTGTCCCCGGAGAATTGCTCCAGAGGTCCGTGTCCACTGATTGAACAGCGGCGGGTCGGAACGTACCCGCGAACCCTAGAATATCACAACGGAAGGAGTGCAGCAGGGCAGGCTATTGGAAAACGGAGCTAAAGGATGGCACTGGGAGGAGAGAGGAGAGGTGGGAGGACGACTGGAGGACACCACCACCACCACCACCAACCAGTCCAGGAGTAGCGAGCTCATCCCGGTAGTCCTTCCACGTAATCCACGTTCCTCCGGCCAGGACTCGACGAAAATCGGACTGGGAGCGATCCTTGAGACCGGGAGTCTCCCGACGGCGGTCCACCTCGGCGTCTTCGTCTACCAGTATTAGCTTCCCACTTGACATGAGGTCGAAGAGGGCGGCATTACACTTAGTAACATTGTCCTTGGTCAGAGCGTCCACCGGCATCCTGCCGTGTGGTATCCACCGTACACGTCCCCGAGCACGCTCGAGAGATTCACATATGATGGCCAGATCCAGAGCAGGTCGGCGATCACGTGTTGAGGCATTGCCTTCCTTCTGCATCGTATCGTAGATGGACTTGTCGTTCACTACGTGGACCTGTTGTTCACGAGAGCTTAATCTACAATCTCGTCTCAGCACGGTCGTGAAAGGTCCAGAGGCCCGGACGCAGTCTGGCAGATCGACGTCTCTGAAGACGGCGTCGCGGTACAGCACTTGAAGGTACTCCACCTCTGCCACGGCTGCCGAGAGAGCTTGCGTCTCTCCGGCAAGCGTGGACGAAACCTTACGCCAAAGCTTACTGCTCCTCCATCCAAGGATGGATGCCTTGACAGCTCTATTGTCCAGCACTGACTTGTCCGCGGCCAGGACCATCCAGGCTCCCTGGGTGGGGTCAGCTGGCGGTCTATTATCGTCTGTCAAAGTCTCGGCCGAGCCCACTCCGCCTGCATCGGAGAAAGATATAAAGGCCATTCTTTCGGGATCGAGGCGCCACACGATCAGGCCTCTGGAGGCCGTGGACTGGGAATGCTTGACGAGCTCGTTGGCACAGGCAACATCGGACACCGTGTGCGCCTTCAGCCTCCTGGCTAGGATACTGGCCACTCCCGCAGCCTCGGGCCGGGACTCTCGACCCACCCAGTGAAATTTGTAGACGAGAAACCGCAGTGCTTTGAACTCTTCAGGCTCCATAGGTGAGTTTTTGTTGGACAAACGGCCCCGGGCCAAGGTGAGCGGACGAACCTCCTCCAGGATATACCTCTCTTGGTCGATGACGACCTTCCCTGGGAGAAAAGACACTCGTCTTCCGCCGAAGTCTACGGGGCTGGCCTGACAATCTCGATACTTGCCGAAGCGGAACCGCTCTTCCAACACTCTTCGGACCCAGGACCTAGAGGAGGCACTAGCACTGCCGATGAAGAAATCATCGACCTCCAACAGCATCATATTCTGGATAGCTCCGTCTCGGCCGTATTTGATCCACCAGCACGGCTCCAATAGACTGCGCACGAATCCGTGCCTCTCCACATAGCCTACTACCGTACGACGCCAGGCCACATGTGCATCGTCCAGCCCGTACACGTTCACCAGGAGGTGGATCAGAGAGCCGGGCTCGACCTCGATCCCTTCGCACGGCTCCACATAGATTTGGCCATGGGACCTGGTCGTGGGGTCGGATTGGGTGAAGGCGTTCTTGACATCAGCAATGTCCCCCAATATTCCGAAGTTAACCAGGACCTGGACAAACATAATGATAGACGAAGTCTGGGGGGTGGGAGCATTCACGGCGAGAGGTCCTGAGTCCCGGTTCTTGTGCCCATGGACACACCAGCGTGACTTTGCCTCGGGCTCCGCGAAAGTGCCTTCCACCGGCTTCCACCTCTGGACCATGTGGCTCGAAATGATCTTGTCGGCGTTGTACTTGCGGATCGTCGCCGCCTGGTCCGGTGGAACGACTCGGATACCCCCAGATTGCAGCATCGCCTGCCACTCCGTCCTGTCGGAGGCCTGGAATTTTTGCCTCTCCTGGAGCGTGAGCTTCTTCAAAGTGATCTCTCCCCCCCCCAGCTGGCAGCGAAGGTGTCTCCGTCCTGACCATTCTGGTTGGTGCACCCGGCCCAGGTGCTGGATTGGCCAGCCCACACGGTGAGACCTCCCTGCGGTCCCGGGACCACCCAGAAATCATCCGTCTCCTGGACCACGCCTTCCAGCCTTCCTCGTTGTCCTGGGGATCGAGACCTGGTCCGGGGCTCAAGAGCCTGGATTCTCTCCTGCACGGAGCGTCTTGGTTCGTGCCCGGCCTCGATGGGTCCTCGGTCCGAATCGGACGGTTCCTGGCCCGGAGGAGGAAAGGACTGAACACCCGGGCCACCCCCGTCACCACCAAGACCGGAGGAAGGAGGAGGAGGAGGAGGAGGAGGAGGAGGAGGAGGAGGAGGATGAGAAGAAGGAGAGGACCGACCAACGGAGGAGTCGAACGAGACAGGAGCACCGGCCTCGAGGGTTCTGGCCCTCTTGAGTTCGGGCGGCGCGCTCTCGGCGCGCGCCCAGATGCACGCTGGGACGTCGTCTGGCTGAGGCAATCGACCCCGTGCCTTGGAGCCGGCGTCCCCTGGAGTGGAAGGGGGGACGGAGGAAGCGGGGTTGAGAGCCTGACGAGGAGAGGAGCGGCGAGCGGGGAAAGGGACGGGGTCAGCCGCCAATGGCTCCGAGGCCCTCTCGTCTCGGGCTCCGCCTGGGGAGGGAGGAGGAGTTGAGGGCGAAAGGGCTGACGGCTCTCCCTCGGAGGGGGGCAGCTCGGAGATGGAGGGAGGTCCAGTTCTCTCAGACCCGGGCTGAGCACTGACCGATCTGGCTCGAGAGACGCCGCTCCTCGGCGGCCTCGGAGGGAAGCCCAGCGGCCCGGTCGCAGACGGAGCAGGGGCCGGAGGCTCTGGTCAGGGGGCCGCGTCTGGCTCTGGTCCGGTCCTTGGAACCTTGGGCCTGGTGTCGAGGTCAGCCTGGGCGGCCGGGTCCCAGGCATCCTCAGGCGGGGGGCCATCTCGTTAGACGTCGACCGCCGTCACGCGGCGAGCCTGGGCTGCCTGGAGGAGGTCCTGCCAGCGCGGGACCTCGGCCAGCTGAAGCCCATATTCCTCCTCGGGACTGTCCACAAACGAGCCCGGACCGCCACCCAAACAGTGCCGCCCTCGGCCAGCACCACGACCCCGGGACCAGTCCATCCAGCTCGACGTCTACCCAGGGAGTCGGCTCTTGAGGAGACCCTAGTGAAGTGGCGCCACACGAACACCCACTGGCCTGGGGTCCGCTTCCTGGATCCCTGAGTCCTGGCCCTGGCCGCCCGAGAGATTTTGTCCCGAGAGCTGGCCTCCACGGCCAGTCTTCTGGCGGCCGCTCGGATGGCCTGGGCCCGGGCGAATTCGGCACCAGCCTCGTCCTGTTCTGACGTCAGGCTGGTAAGGTTTTGCCATCTGGGAATGGCTCTAATGCTCGTCGGACAGAAGATCGTGAGGGAGGCGGGGGTTTTCGCCAAACACGAGCTGGAGCGGTGAGAAACCTCCTCTGTGCCAAAAACGGTTCTTGTGAGACGTGAGCTCGAAGATTAAATCATCGAGCTCATGGAGGTTGGTTGGCAGGGTCGACCATGCCTCTAGCTCTATTCGCACTCGGTCCTTAATCTCGCCTCCGTGTCTCTCGACCCTCCCGTTCTGCCAGGGGGAGTCGGCGTCACACACGTGGTGAGAAACCCCCCACTGCTCCAAACCTCGAACGAAACAGGCACCGAACTCCGAACCACCGTCGGAAATGATCAGATGTGGCGCCCCCAGCGGACGGATCCATGATTTGACAAACTCAGACCAAACCGCAACAGCCGTGGCGCTCTCGACTCGGGAGACCACCTGAAGATTGGATCCGTGGTCTACTATATTCAGGTAGGGATACGTCACGCCCTTGTCGGGATGGCCCACGTGACAGTGAAGTTTGTAGACCAGTCGCTGCTCGTCTTCTGACGGTTCGGGCTCCGGCTCTTCGGCCTTGGGGACCTTGGCTCTAGACTGCTGGGACGGTCGGGTCTCCTGCTCGTCCTCGCTTTGATCGGAGCCCTGTGGCTTCCCCGTCACCAGCTTCCTCGGCTTCCGCGGGATAGCCCTCCGCCAGCTCCGCCCACAGGGCCTGCCTGGCCCTCGAGGCTCCGGACCAGTGCTCGGACACAGCGCGAGCCACGGCATTGACAAACTGAGGGGAGTATCGTCCGGCCTTGGTGGTGACGGAGCCACCTTCCAGCACGGCATGGGTGTGTCCGCCCGTGCACAGATGCCCGTCTAGAAGGCGCAGCACCTGAGGGTGATTGCTGAGGATGCCCGTGGGTTTCTTGTTGAGTCCTCGGCCGTCGACCTGAAGACCGAATCGACACATATCGACCCTGATTCGCTGGACCCCGGACATACCCCAGACCAGCCTAACAGCACGCGTGTCCCAGGAGGTAGCGTACAAGGGATGTTCGAACACGAAGTGGCGCCCCTGCTTCACTTGATAGGCGGCGATCTCCATGCATAAGGTCAAGTCCCTAAGACCCTCGGACACCAGACGATCCCATTCGAACTGGCCCATGCGATCGCGATTTGAACGATTGATCGCCGAGAACGCCTTGCATTCCGAGCATAACCAGATCACCTCAGGACGCTCGATCCTGATCCTATGCCAAAGTCGTTCCACCTCGGACTTCCGA